TTCGATGAAAGATACACCAATGTCACACGTAGCCCGTCTTGGTGAAATTCAACTACCACCCCATAAGAGAACAAGTATAACTAGAAAGAAAACATTAACAAAAATCTACTACAACTCAAGAAAAAGAAAAGAAAATAGACTAAACTAAGTGGGGGAAAACATCTCACTTACCTGAGGGGAAACTCGTGAGGTTGTGGGGAGAGGAGAAAAGGAAAGTGGGCACTGTCAATTGATGGTGGGATTGGATGCTTCAGAGAAGAGATGAGAGAAGGGGTTTGGGTTAGGGTTGTTTAGAAGAAGGGGAAAGGGGGGATTTTGAAATTGGGGTTGTTTAGGAAAGGGGTGGGTCCGAAATTGGAGTTGTTTAGAAGAAGAGGGGGGGGTGGTCCAAAATTAACTAAAGNAAAAAAAGCTTACCTGTGCGCGGTCAGTGCGTGGCCGCACACGTGAGGCAGTGGAGGTCTGAAAATGCGCGGTCGGTGCGCGGTCAATGCGCAGCCGCACACGTGAGGCAGTGAAGGTCTGAAAATGCGCGACCATATGCGCGGTCAGTGCGTGGCTGCGCACATTTATATTTTTTTTATTTTTATAAAACTTCCTACCTTCCACAACATGTGCCTTCCTGTACCTATTACATCATAGTATACACTAATTTTTATCTATTCTTTGCTGTGAACAAATGTGAAGCAAAAAAAAGAAAATCTAACTAGCAGAAGGGTTAGAGGTAGTTCTGAGTTATAGTCGTCAGCTTGACTCAATCGGGCATCCTAGTTGATTTTGATGCTCGAGGATTGCTGTGCAAATCCCCCAACAAGATACGGTTTTAGTTTGTGTCCATTTACTTTAAAACTTTCTATTCCGTCTTGGTTCTGGATCTCAATTGCCCCGTATGGTGATATATGTTTCACCACATATGGTCCCGTCCATCTAGACTTGAATTTTCCGGGAAATAATCTGAGTCTACTATTATACAGTAAGACTTTGTCCCCTTCATGAAACTCCTTTGGCTTAATCATATGATCATGCCACATTTTAGTCTTTTCCTTGAAAATTCGCGCACTTTCATATGCGTCCAGTGTGAACTCTTCCAATTCATTCATCTGCTCCAACATGTGATCACCTGTAAGACTAAGATCAAGATTAAGCACCTTAATTGCCCAATAAGCCTTATGTTCTATCTCAACAGGTAGGTGACACGACTTACCATACATTAATTTGAATGGCAAAGTCCCTATGGTCATTTTGAACGCAGTTCTATACGCCGATAGTGCTTCATCCAACTTGACAGACTAATCTTTATGAGAAGCACTAACCGTCTTTTCAAGAATTTGTTTTAGTTCTCGATTGGCCACTTCGACTTGCCCACTAGTTTGGGCATGGTACGAGATTCCTATTTTGTGTGTGACCCCATACTTGGACAGTAGTGCAACAAACTATTCATTCACAAAGTGTGACCCATTATCACTAACAATCACTCGAGGTGTCCCAAAACGGGTAAAGATGTTTTTCCGCAAAAACTCACACACCATCCGAGTATTATTGGTCCTAGTAGGGATTTATTCGACCCATTTAGAGACGTAGTCAACGAGTACTAGGATATACTCATGAGAATGCGACATTGGGAACAGACCCATGAAGTCAATGCCCCAAACATCAAAAATTTCACATACCAGAATGGAGTTGAGAGGCATTTCATCCCTCTTGCTAATATTGCCTGTTCTCCGGCACTTGTCACATGCAGCTACATACGCCCTTGCATCTTTGTACAGAGTAGGCCAAAAAGAAACCGGCTTCCATGACCTTTGCTGCAGTGTGATTTCCACCATAGTGTCCTCCAGATGATCCATCATGGCAATGAGACAGAATGCTTTCCATTTCTCCTTCAGGCACACATCTTCGAATTACACCATCTGCACATAGTTTAAACAAGAAAGGGTCATCCCAAAAATAACTTTTTACCTCACCTTGAAGCTTTCGCCTTTGATCATGAGTGAGGTCACGGGGTAACCATCCACTAGCCAAAAGGTTGGCTACATCCGCATACCAAGGCGGCCTTTCAAAGACTGTTGCTATGGAAACAATCTGCTCATCAGGGAACTCTTCCCTTATTTCGATTGTTTCAACTGGAGGTTTCTCAAGTCGAGATAGATGATCTGCAACTTGATTTCTGTGCCCTTCCTATCTTTTATCTCCAAGTCAAACTCTTTGAGCAACAACACCCACCGCATCAGACGCGGCTTGGATTCCTTCTTACTCAATAGGTATTTCAACGCTGAGTGATCAGTGTGTACAATCACCTTACTTCCAACCAGGTAAGATCTAAACTTGTCAAAAACAAAGACCACAACAAAAAATTCCTTCTCAGTAGTGGCATAATTGACTTGAGCATCATTCAATATCCTGCTTGCATAGTAGATAGGCCTAAACATTTTATCTCTTCGTTTCCCCAGAACTGCTTCCACAGCTACATCACTAGCATCACACATTATCTCAAATGGCTGGCTCCAATCAGGTGTTACCATAATAGGAGCACTAACAAGTTTTTCCTTTATCAATTCAAATGCTCTTAAGCACTCCACATTGAAAATAAACTTGGTATCTTTCGCTAGCAATGCTGTCAATGGCTTGGTAATGCTGGAAAAGTTTTTGATGAACCTCCTATAGAACCCAGCATGTCCCAAGAAACGTCTTATGCTCTTCACCGAAGTAGGGGGAGGGGAGCCTAGCAATAACATCAACCTTAGCTCGGTCAACTTCAATTCCATGCGCAATTTCTTTGTGGCCTAGGACAATTCCCTCATTCACCATGAAGTGACACTTCTCCCAGTTAAGAACCAAGTGAGTGGCATCACAACGTTCAAGCACGAGCTTCAAATTCATCAAGCAATCCTCAAATTCATCATCAAAAAGGGTGAAATCATCCATGAACACCTCTAGATACTTCCCATTTAAATCCGAGAATATAGACATCATGCACCTCTGAAAAGCGGCAGGTGCATTACATAGCCCAAACGATATCCTCATGTAAGCAAAAATACCTGACGGGCAAGTAAATATGGTCTTCTCAACATCTTCTGGGGCAATGGGTATCTGATTGAAGCCTGAATATCCATCCAGGAAGCAGTAGCATCCGTGTCCAACCACCTTCTCGAGCATTTGATCAATAAAAGGGAGTGGATAGTGGTCTTTCCTTGTTGCATCATTCAATCTTCTATAATCAATGCACATTATCCACCCGGTGACTGTTCTTGTGGGGATCAGTTCATTATTTTCATTTTTCACCACTATCATGCCCCCCTTTTTAGGTACAACTTGCACTGGACTAGTCCACTGGCTATCAGAGATGGAAAAAATCACTCCCGCATCTAGCAATTTGATGATATCCTTATGCACTACCTCCTCCAAATTTTTGTTCAACTTGCGTTAAGGCTGCACCACTGGCTTGCTATTTTCTTCTAACAGAATTTTGTGCATGCAAATGGCTGGACAGATTCTTTGAATATCAGGTATGCTCCAACCAATGGCCTTCTTGTGCTTTGACAGCAACTCCACCAGCTTTTGCTCATGTGTACCTGTCAAGTCAGCAGAAATAATCACAGGAAAATTGTTAGTTTCGAGAAAAGCATATTTCAAGTGAGTGGGGAGGACTTTCAATTCCACATTGGGCTTAGAAGCCTGCTCTTTTTGTTCCTCCTCATCAACTACTTGATCCTCAGTTTTAAGAGCTTCAGCCTCTTTTTTTATTTCAGGATCTTCATCCTCCACTGTGCTAGACTGAGTTATACACCTCTCTAGAGTATCCCCCACAAGCTTGTCAAACTTATACTTTTCAGCCAACTCTCCAATGACATCTAGCTTGAAACACGAGTAGGCAGACGCCTCATCACTGGGGTATTTCATCATTCTCTTCATCTGGAACACTACTTTCTCATTGTCCACTCTAAGTATAAGCTGCCCCTCATACATATCAAGGATGACTCTACCTGTACATAAAAATGGCTTCCCTAGAATTAAAGGCACCTCCTTGTTCACCTCCATATCCACCACAATAATAGTCTACGGGGAATACAAACTTGTCCACCCGTACTAGAATATCTTCAATGATTCCCTTAGGTAGAATGGTGATCTAGTCGGCCAGTTGTAGGGATACTGGTATTGATTTGATCACTCCAAGTTTACCTTCCAGTTTCCTGAATACAGACAGGCATTAGATTTATAGACGCACCCAAATCACAGAGGGCCTTGTCGAATTTCTCACTCCCCAACGAGCATGGTATGGTGAAGCTTCCTGGGTCCCCACACTTTTGGGAAATTTTATTTTGCAATATGGCACTGAAGTGGGCATTCAACGTGACCATTGTTGTCTCCTCTAATTTCCTCTTGCTAGACAGGATTTCCTTCAAGAATTTTCCGTAAGCAGACATCTGAGTGAGTACCTCTGTGAAGGGAATGTTCACATAAAGTTGTTTGAGCATCTCCAAGAATCTCCCAAAACATTTGTCAAATTTCTCCCGCTTCATCTTTTTAGGGAACGGTAGAGCTGGCATATGACTACTTTCTTCAATTTTCTTTTGTACCCCACTATTCTAGCTCTTTTGCTCTTCATTCTTTTCCTCTACTAGTGTCTCGGTCTGCTTGTTAACCACCTCCGATTTAGCCTTTAGTATTGGGTCAGTCAATGTTTTTCTACTTCTTAGAGATACAATGTTGATTGTTTCCTTCGGGTTCTTTTCAGTGTCGGAGGGAACAGTCCCAGGAGCCCTCTCAGACAACAAATTTGTAATCTATCCCATTTGCCTTTCTAAGTTCCGGATAGTCATGCCCTGAGTCTCGAATTTTTCATCTGTTTTGTTAATGAATGCCTTTCTGAGATCTTCAATATTTGACTGATTTGGCTGTGGTGGCTGGTATTGTTGCCTCTGCTGGTTTTGAAAACTTGGTGGTCTCTGACCCTAGGGTTTGAGATTGTTTTGCTGCCATGAGTTCAAGATCCCATTAGGTTAACTCCACGAAAAACCTGGATGTCTTTGACCCATAGCATTAAAGTTGTTCCCACCTTGGTAGTTTCCTCTATTAAAGTTCCCCACAATGTTGACCTCTTCAGCTGTAGCTTGATACTCATGTGTGGGGTGTCCCATCCCATAAATGTCACAACCCACCTGTGGTTGAGTTTGCACCTGAGCCATAGTCAATTGCTTGATGTCTTTAGCTATAACTGCAATTTGGGCCTGCATTGCTACAGATGATTCTACTTGGTGCACCCCTGCTAATTTTCTCCGATCCACTTGGTCTGTGGACCATTGATCTGCATCTTCAGATAGTTCATTCAAAGGAGTGACAATCTCTTCTGGAGTTTTCTTCATCAAAGGGCCTGGAACTGCACTATTTAGCAATCTCCTAGATGACGGGTTTAAACCGTCCCAAAAGTCCTGAAGTTGCATCCATTGTTCCATTCCGTTGTGAGGGCACCTCTGCAGCATCTCCTTAAATCTTTCCCATGCTTCGAATACTGTCTCTCCTTCACCTTGGCTGAAATTGTGTATCTCCTTCCTCATCCTTCTAGCCTTAGCAGCTGAGAAGTATTTTTCCAGAAACTTGGTAGTTATCTCCTCCCACGTACAGATTGACCCTGTGGGCAAACTTCTCAAGCACTGCTTTGCATCATCCTTCAGCGAGAACGAGAATGCTCTGAGGTATATAGCATCATGTGATGCTCCATTGTAGCGGAATGTGTTCACAATTTTATCAAAGTCCATCAGATGGTTGTTGGAATCTTTATTGGGTTTGCCTCTGAAAATGCAATTATTCTGGGGGCCTCACACTAGACTGTTGTTGGTTGTACACCGATCTAGCATAATCTCCCAGGCCTAGGACCTGCATTTTCAAATGCATCCTCGATAACTCGGTTGGGATTGAGTCTTCTTCCGAATAAATTTGATTCCTTTAGCTAGCCTAATAACAGGCCCTCTGAATATATGCACTAAAATAGTGAATGAACGATCTTTCGAAGAGCTCCTCTCGGTTATTCTCCTGAACTAGGTAAATCGATAACTCCTTAAGCTCTTTCGATTACCTAGAAGGGGCGTAAAATCAACCCAGTTAAGATGGTACAAAGCAAATAGCAGCAGACTTCTCTTTCAATTAAAGTAAATCTACGATAAACCTTGCAATTCAATTAATAGCCCATTCAGTAAATTCGAGCAATTAACATAGAGTAAAACCCAAAACAATAGTCAATTCATAACATCCGCCAACAACCCTGAGGAGAATTACTCCATAACGAAGAAAATATTCATAGCAAGAGTATTAGAAGAACAAGGAGACATTACAATTCCCAAATTCAAACCAACTTTTGTATTGAGTGAATTGGATCAAGTATCTTGCTTTCCCGTTGCTTCCGTGCTTCTTCTCCCTGCAAAGATGCCCTCCAAATCCAAGATGCCCTCTTTTTAGACGAGTTGGGCTTCATATAGGTCAAGGGAAGTCGCCTCCAAAATTATAAAATTAGCCTTGGGAGAATGTTTCCGATATACGTGCGCGGTCGCGCACCTGGGCAGGTGACGGCGCATATGGCCACGCAATTTGGCCAGTTTCTGCTTGTCATGCGCGCCCAGTACGCGGTCGTGCACCTGGGCAACTTTCTGCTCTCTTCTTCCTTCTTCTTTTTAAGTACACTAGCATCCTTTGATCCTCGAACATAATCCCAAATTACTCCATAAGCTTTTACTTAGCCTTCAAAGCTCCATAGTAGCTCAAAATCGCTCCTGCAAAGCATAAAGCACACAGTCAGTGCAAATTAATACCATTTAAAGCTCAAATATTAGTAAAGTACAGAGAATTATAGTGCAATTAATGGCCAAAATATACAATTATAGCCTACCATCAATGCCTCAAGAGTTGGAAAAGCATGAGCCGAGAAAAGAAAATAAAAGTGCTTAAGGAAAGATGAACTCGTTCTATCATAGCATATCCAACCTTAGTCCAAAAGCTTTCATTGCACTCCGTAAAAAAGCCCTACGTGATTTCAAGCCGAGTGAGCTTACATTAGTGGTCATTTACATGAGGGCAAGCCTATGGTACTTAAAGCCGTACTTGCGATATTCTTTTGAGAGAGATGAGTGAACTTTTAGCAAATCCTTGGATTGAGTGCTAAATTCTTAAGTGAGATAGTCAACCAGAGAGTAGAGAAAGATGAGTTTGGGATCCACAATGACCTACATGAAAGAGGAAGCTTCCTTGATGAATAAAGTCAACTATTGATGCTCAAGTGTCACAATAGAACTATTTGTGCTTAAAAGTTTAACTTGTTGCCTTGTTGATAATTCATAAGTGGTGTGGGTAATTGTTGGTCCCAATTGATGTGTGAGTGACTCACTTTGATTTTCTGGAATGACTCTTAACTTGTGGAGGTGGGAACCACTTTATTTGCTTGAGGACAAGCAAAAGCTTAAGTTTAGGGGAGTTGATAAGTGTGGATTTTTACTACTTATTAGCGCCTTTTAGCTTTCGTTTTAGTCCAAAAGTGTTTAATTATGTTCCCGAAAACTGATAAAATGTGCTTCATTATAGGAATATTAGAAGATGAACTCCCGAGATGAAATCCAACTCAAGAAGGAGTAATCTGAACTCAAGGACAAAATAAGGCACAGAAGCTCAAAAATGCGGACCACAGAATATCATCTGTGGCCACAGGTTATGAAGGAAAATCCATCAGAGACTGGTGCAAACGGTCTGCACATGAATGGTGCGGCCGCAGAAGCTGGGTCAGAGCAAAGTTCAGAGACTCTGCAATTCAAGTCCATCAAAAATACGGACCGCACAATTATTGTGCGGCCGCAGTCACAATTGTGCGGACCGCAAAAGAGCAAGATGCAGCCGCAATTACAAATCTGCGGACCACAGATAGAGTGCAGTGCGGCCGCAGTTCAGAATTATGCGGCCGCAGATTTCCAATCCTGTCAAGCTGAAGAAAAGTGCAGACCGCACATGTAATTGTGCGGCCGCAGAACCTCCGAAAGAGCATTTTTGTCCGAAATTTTCAGCCCTGTATAAATAGACAAGTTTCACATTTTTAGGTTAACTTTTGACATCAGCTGCTACAGTAGCCGTTTCCTTTTACTCTTTTTAGTAGTTTTTCATATTTTGAGCTATTTTAAGTTAGATTTTATCATTTTAATTAGCAATATGAGTTTAATTATCATTTCTTCTTCTATTTCTTCCATTTCAAGCATGAGCAGCTAGATTTTTCATTAGGGTTGTGACCCAATCCTAGTGTGTAAACTTAATGGGTGTTTAATTTATTGCTTGTTTATTGTGGGTATTTATTATTTAGCCTTGTTCTTGATTTTATTTGTGGAATTAATGGTTGCAAACATTAGTTCATGCCTATTTGACTTGGTCTCTACTTGAGAAAGAGAGACTTAGTCTAGGAAAACTTGACTAACAAGAAATTGGGTCAATCGAGAGATTGATAAGCTCAATTAAAGGGTTGAACCTAGAGATAGTAACAACCCGACTTGAGATTTTATCAACCGTTTTGCTCAATACCCATTTGGACTTGAGAAAGTCAAATTGGGCAAAATCACTATCTGACCGAGAGGTATTGAGTGGGTAATTTAGTGTTGATAGCTATAATATACCCCGACCAATAAAACAAGCTTTAAAGTTTATATCCCATTAGGCAATCACCTAGGTGAAGGTCATATCCCTAGTCTTTTTACAACATTTGAAAAACAATAAAAACAATTTCCTAGTTTTAATTCTCAACTTGCAATCGTAGTTCAAATTAGATTTCAAAACAGCCAAATTTTTTGGAGTAAATTTAGATATTCAAATTCATATACTACGATATATACTACTAACTCCCATCTATAGCTCCCTGCGGAATTCGACCCTGACTCTTGTTGGGTACTATTATTGCATCGACCGTTTTTATAACCTCGTATTGAGGCGTGAACTTGGACGAGATCATTGTTCATCGTTGGAATCAATTTTCATTGACTCGATTTATTATACTCTATTGCTTTAATTCGCATGTTACTTGTCAATTTCTGGGAAACCTTCGTGTTGGTTGTGTTCTGACTAAGTATTCTATATTCTTGCTCTTTTCTGAAGATTCAGTAGCATTATTGATTTGCTTCATTGTTGGAATTAGTTTGCATTGACTTGATTCCCATGTATATATTTATTTATGTATATCTGTATCTCGTTCCTTTGTTTATATTAGGAATATTCCATTAAGTTGAATTGTTTATTCAATCAGTCTTGCTTGTATCCTAGCTAGTTGTTTTGCCTGCGTGCTTTGTTATAGTATTTCCTTACTGTAGTTCTTTGCTGGGTTTAAGTTGTAGTACTCGAAAGGGGTGAGGGGGAAGAATAGGGTAGGCATATTTGTTGATAAAGATCTTAAAGAGCTAGTGATAGAGGTAAGGAAGGTGAATGACAGGCTGATGGCTATTAAGCTAGTTGTGAGAGGGTTTACTTTGAACATAATTAGTGCTTACGCACCTCAAGTGGGTTTGGACGAGGATGAGGCTCATTTGGGAGGACTTAGATGGGTTGGTGGGGGTGAATTCCGTACACCGAGAAGCTTCTCATAAGAGGATATTTTAATAGCCACATTGGAGGAGTTATGACGATGTGCATGTTGGCTTTGGTTTTGGTGACAAAAATGGAAGAGGAACTTCTTTGTTGGATCGTGCTAAAGCCTTTGATTTGGTGGTCGTTAACTCGTGTTTTCTGAAGAAGGAGGAGCAATTGGTCCTTTTAAGAGTATGGTGGCCAGGATGCAAAATTATCATATACTTCTTAGGAGGTGTGATAGAGGTATATATACAAATTGTAAGGTTATCCCGAGTGAGAATCTCACGACTCAACATAGGATATTAGGTATGGACCTCACGATCATGCGGACAAAGAAAAAGAGGGTAGTGTCTCGCTTGTCTAGGATCAGGTGGCGTGCCTTGACAAAGGACAAAGCTCAGGAGTTGGGGGAGACATTAGTGGTTATGGGAGCTTGGAGAAGTAGTGGGGATGCAAGTTGTATATGGATCATGACAACAAACTGTATCAAAGAAGCTACGAAGGAGGTGTTTGGGGTCTCGAAGGGTTTCTCTGGTGGCCGCAAAGGGATCTGGTGGTAGAATAACGAGGTCTAAGGTAAAGTGAAAGGCAAGAAACTGGCATATAGAGAGCATAGACAAGGTGGAGAAGAGGGCCAATGAGGAGAGGTATAAGAAGGCTACGAAGAAGGCGAAGTTGGCGATCACTGCGGCTAAAACTGCAATGTTTAGACGTTTGTATGAAGAGCTTAGGGAGAAATGCAGGGATAAGAAGTTGTACAGGCTTGATAGAGTGAGATAAAGTAAGGCCCATGATCTGGATCAAGTAAAGTGCATAAAAGATAAGGAGGGTAGAGTTCTGATGGATGAGGCACATATTAGGCGGATGTGGTAGTCATACTTCCATAAACTCTTAAATGAAGAGGGGATAAGGACATCATGTTTGGTGATTTGGAGCATTCCGGGAGTCATCCGGGCATTGGGTATTGTAGGTGCATAAGAGTGGGGGAGGTTGAGGGGGCGATGTATAGAATGAGCAGGGGTAGAACGACCATGCCAGACAAAATCCCGGTAGAATTCTGGAAGAGCGCAGGTAAGACAGGCTTGGAATGGCTCTCTAGGTTGTTCGACGTAAATTTTAGGACAAAAATGATGCATGAAGAATGAAGATAGATTATGATGATTCCCTTGTACAA